GTCGTGGTTTCCATTATTTTATATTCTAATCAGGAAGTAGTTTGCTGTAAGAGATAACTTAGCTTTTTTTTTTTTTTTCAAATGTTATCTCTTTTACTCATTAAGTAATCCAGTTTTACTCATGGCTTTGAAATGCCACATTTTATTGTGTGCTAAACTCTTACATCTTTGGACCATAATGTTTTATTCACCTGTATATCTTCTGGAGCCAGTGTCAAATACTTTTTTTGATTATTATAATTTTATAAGATATGTTAATATTATATGGACTTGTTTACACTCATTATTTTGTATTCCCAAAAGAGTCCAAGCTGTTCCTGCACATTTTTTCTTCCAGATAAACTTTATAACTGCTTGTTGAAGGAAAACTTTCTGAGATTATGATTGGAGTTGACTAAAGGTATAAATCATTTTTGGGGTAAATTACTGCATGGAGTCTTTCTGTCCTAGAACAAGACCAAATTGTAGTCCTCATTGGTGTTTTTAGTTTATTTTATATGGATCTTATGTATTTCCTGTCAAGTATATTCTTATATATTTTATGTGTCTTTTATGACTAGATTTTTTATCTTTTTATCGTTTCAGATAAGAAAGCTCTCGATATTATAGAACTATATTTGTTAACCTGGAAAGAATGTCTTTCCATAAGTGTGAAAAAAACAGTTTTTAAATGTACTATATACTTAATTTTTTGTTAAAACTACCCAAATAGTTTGGTTATCTGTGGTGCAGTGATATCAGAGATAATAGTTGCTTCTTATTTAGTTGTATACATTTCTAAGTTTCCCTATCAAATTTTACTTTTGTAGTAAAAATTATGGCTAATATTTGTGCTGATGTGTGCCAGATGCTCTTCTAAGATGTATATATTTTCACAATTTAAGATATAAAGGAATAACTTATAAACTATGAGAAACCTCAGTTTGTGTTTCAGAGTTGGCACTGAAATTTGTATCACAGAAAGGCAGGAAAGGGCAGAACTTGTTTTTTTAAGTGCCGCTTTTTAGTATGATATAGGAGTGAGCAGGCCGTTCTTCATTTGTGTTTTTACAGATGAGAAATAAGCTAATTTCAGTATACATTGTATGTGTGTACATAAATACATACAAACAACATTATGGTTTTGATAGTAAATGCTTCGAAAATAGCAAGAAAGAGAAATAACATTCTAGTACTGCTTCTTAATAACTGTCAATCGTGGGCATACTTTAAGTCACTAAGACCCAGTTTTCTTTCTGTAAAATGGAGGTTACGTTAAATGCCTTATTGGGTCATCTGTAAGGGTTAAATTATAAAGTGCATAGTATTTTGTCTTACGTATATAAAAAACTCGAGTAAACAAAAACAATTTTAAAAAGCACTCATGTTCGCTATTGTTACTTTAAGGAACTTTCCTTTTAATATCTCATTGATTTCTTAGTATCCCACTGTTAAGTGACCCAGAGGTCTACTTTATCCTCACCATTTTAGCAAGTAAAGAAATGGAGGCTTAGAAGGCAAGAAGGGAGCATTATTTGAAATATGGAGTGTCGTTACATAATGATTAAAGAGTCATCCTCCAGAAATATATAACCTCTATGCAGCAAACAACATAGCCTTGAACACATAATCCAAACCAGCATATTTGCAAGGAAAAGCTGACCAATCTGTTAGAAGGATTTTAACACACTTCAGAAATTGAGAGAACTGACATATTAATTAGGAAGGCTATAGATTATAATAGGAAACTAAGGCTCAGAGAAATGAAGTTTGTTTTTGCCCAAAGTCACATAGCTAGTAAAGAAAAAAGGTTGATTGAAACTCAAATCTGTTTTATTAAAAATCACATAAGCTTTCCAAAATTCCATCTGTTTAAAATCGAGTTGTCTTGTACTTCTCAGCATCTGTTAAAGTTACTTGTACTTCACTGTCCACAGTGAACATTGACTGGATCTCAGAATCACTTTATTTCTGGTATTTTATGTTTGCAGAGACATAGACCTCTGCTGTTCTTTTACACTGTGTACTGGTTCTGTCCTAATAGTCCCATTTCAGTTGTATACATAACACGTTCTGGCTTTAGATGGTCATGAATTCCTGGTTTCTAGCAGGAGGAGAAAAGATTTTAGGTGCATCGTGACTGTACCAATTGAAGAGCATTTGTCGCTAAGTCCACAGATCCTGTGTGAGATAAGAGAGTCGGGAACTCATTCTCGGTGTAAAAGATCCGGCCACGAGTTCACACCAGCAGAAGCAGAAGAGACAGGATAGGAAGATCAGACTTGCTAATCACCTTGCACAAGGAACAGAAAATGACCATGTTACAGGTGAGTCGATTGTTTCTTCCTTATCATTTTTCCAGGAGATTAGAGGAGTGTACAAGTCTTCCAGTGAAAAAGAAACATATAGTTGAGAAATCAGGGAAAAATAGCTCCAGAAGAGAAGATCCACACTGGGACAGAATTGGAGCAGTGATGTATTAACTATAGAGCCTTGGGACATTCTAAGGCTTGAGTTTTTATAAGACACAGTGTCCTGTGTAGTCAGTGAATTTGACCTGCAAACTTGCTTCTCCAATTTTTGGCAGTTTGTAATAAATAAATATGAACATTTATATGAATTGCAATATCCAAAAAAAAAAAAAGCTAATTTTTTGTGGAAAACAAATGTTTCTTGGTCATTCCTTGATGAAGTCTTTGAATAAATGATATAGTGGGTAGTGTCCTTAAGAGAAACATAATAAATACGTAGGTCTTATGACCATTTTTCATCGTTTTCTACAGAGTGTGACCCAAGGGGGAAATGCCAAAGCAGAACTTAGCGGCCATAATTACTTACTTTATTTACTTTTTTAATTGTGAAGCAGAATCACGTGCAAAGTACATAGAAGGTAAAAGTACAGCTTAATGAATTATCAATTGAATACCCCTGAAACTGTCACTCAGGTCAAGAAATAGAGCATTTCTAGCCCCGTCAAAGCCCTTCACGTGCCCTCTCCTGTCACAGCTTCTTCCTCCTGACAAAGGAACCCTCATGTGCCCTCTCTGGTCACAGCTTTTTTTCTCCTGACAGGGAACCAGGACCCTGACTTTTGTAGGCATTTTCTTGCTTTATAGCTTCACTACTAAATATTCATCCTGAAAAGGTGCCGTTTGGTTTTGTGTTTGGTCGTATATACTCGTTTGTGTGTTTTCACTTCGGGTTTGCCTCTCTCACTTAACATCTTGTGAGATCATCACAGTTACAGCCTCCTCTTTAAGGGAGCCTCTTAATACCGCCAAATCCAGTCAGTGTTTAAATTTCAGGTTGTCTCAGAATTCAGAAACTGCAGTTTGTTTGAATTAGAGTCTAAATAACAGTCATACAATACTATTGGTTGATCTGTCTCTTAAGTCTCTTCATCTCTTGGCTCTTCTTGTATTTTTAGCCATATTATTTGTTGAAAAAGCCAGGTCATTTGTTCTGTAGAGTTTCCCACGGTCTGGGTTTTGCTGATTGCATCCCAGAATGTGTTAATATGTTCTGTCACCTGTGTTCCTGTATATTGATAGATTTAGAGCTGTGCTGTCCCATATGGAAGCCACTGGCTACGTATAAAATGCTTAAATGTAAACTAATCAGATCCCTCCGTCACCCCAGCCTCATTTCAAGTGCTCAGTAGCCATTGGACAGCCACGAATTAGTACAGATAAAGAATATGTCTGTCACCACAGAAAGTCCATTGAACAGATGTGATCTAGAGACGATCAGATTCAAGTTTGAGTTTTGGCATGAGCGCTTTGAAGGCTGTGGTATGCTCTTTCAGGAGGCGCTGTCTGCTTGTCTCGTTTTGTCGTGCTAGCCGTGGTAGGTGATCATTGCCTAGATGGATTGCTTCACTAGGGAATGCAAAATAATATCTTTTTCTATCATTTTTTCTTTGGTTATTAACTGGAAAACTTGCTTAATAGTTTATAGTTCAGCGAAGTATCTCGAGGATCCGTTTGTAATGTTCTGCCCCAGACCTGCAGTTATCCATTTCTGCAGATAGTATCTTGAAATTTATTTAGTAAATTTTTTTGTGCCAAAACATGAGACATAGTAGATTTTTACATATGGACTTTGTAGCCAGGAACTTCTTAAGCCCACTTATTAATTCTAATAGTTTTTCTTTAGATTTGATTAATATTCCATATTCACAAAAATATCAGTAGTACCCTTTTTTAGTAAAAGGAAATTTTACTAAATTTCTATTTTTGCCAAGGTTTTTTATGATGAAAAAATGTTAAAAAATTTGGTATATTCTTTTTTTATGTGCTCATTCTTTTTCATATTTTTATGTTCCTTATGAAATCCCGCCCTTATTTTTTAAAAATTTTAACATGCTTTTTAAAACCGTTAGATTTTTCTGTTATTTGTAGTTCCTGTGATGTACATTCTTTCATTTGCAGACATGCTTTCTCTGCATCTTTTGAGGTGATTATTTATATTTTTTTAAACAAATAAGGTAGTGAATATCATTTGAGTTTTTAAAAAATGGTAAACTAACCTTGAATTTCTGGGATAAACCCCCGCTTAGTCTCACGATATCGTCTTCATTATGTTTTGCTCAGTACACTTCAGTAACATCATTCAGGAATTTCACATCGATGTTCTCGTGGCCTTTGCTTTTCCTTTCTTGCAATATCCTTATTGGGTCTTGTTACCAAGGTTATGCTGTTAGCAGAAAGCTGATTTCAGTTAGCATAACTTCCGAGGTCCACCCATGTGTCAGCATCGTCAGCCGTTCATTCTTTTTATTGTTGAGTAGTATCTCGTTGTATGGATAGATCACTTTACTCATTCGTCACCTGATGGACATTTGGGTTATTTACACTGTTTGGTGGTTATAAGTAATAGTGATATGAACAAGCAGGTACAAGTTTTTGTATAATTTATATTTTCACTCCTCTTGGATACATACTTAGTGTTTCGTTGCTGGCTCATGCGGTAAAATTATATTTAACTTTACAATAAACTGCCACAGTTCCATAGATAGCATCTTATCTGTTTTATATTCCTACCAGTATGAAGTTCCAGTTTCTTCACATCCTTCCCAACGCTTGTTATTGTCTTTTTTTTTTTGATTTGGGCGATCCCTTTTATTTAGAAGTTCTGCACCTCTGCTTTGATCAGAAGTCACATAGCTCTTCAGCTTATTTTTAAAAATGCTACCTAAAATATAATCGTATTTTTTAAACAACAAGTATATTTGCCAGCAAGTAGAAACCAGGGTCCTGGGTGTCATTGTTCCTCTACAAGTGCGTCTGTGTCCATGTCCTTGGGCTCCCTCTGCCAAAGCTGTCAGTTCTTCAGTCTCAGTGTTTGATTTATGTATCACTCACTCCATTGCTTCTCGGCCTTTATTAGCATTTGACCATGTCATACTTGCCATCAGTCCTTCCAAATAACTACTGAGACTGACTCTTTTCACAGTGGTTGTGGTTTCTTGGGTCAAAAGCACTTTTTCCGGGTCCCGAGGATATGGTTTGTATGTATGTCTCATCTACTAACACCATATTTGTAAATGAAACATCAGTGGATTTAAGCTCCATTGTTTTCTCTGCAGGGTCAACTACAGAATGTTCTTACACATATGTTTTGGTTTTTGCATCACCAATAAGATATTTCACAGTGGAAGGCAGTCCCCACTCTGTGCTGAAAAATCTGTAGCTAGGCAACTTTCCAGAAGGATCTGTATGTCCAGTACATCAGCTCCAGTCACTCTTGAATTCCTGGGGTCTGGGTATTTCTGCCTTGTGGCAGTAGTAACAGTTTCCCACGGGTGGGCAGAGATGTGCTCTGATGTCTGGGCCTTCAGAGTGCCTGTGGCCTGCATGATGTTTGGGCGGTGCTTGTCATTTGATTACAGTCAATCTAGTGAGTCAGGTGATAGCTTGCTCATTGTGGTTTTTGCATTTTTCCTTTTGCATTAAGGAAATTTGCATTTCCTTAATAACTAATTATGTTGGTCATCAGTTCGTGTGCTTGTTAACCATCTTCATATCTTGATAAAATGTAGAATTCTGCCTGTTTTTTAATTGGGTTGTTTGTATTATTGAGTTCGAAGAGGTATTTTTGTAAGTTCTGGGTCATGTTCTTTATCACAGATATGATTTGCAAATAATATTCTCTAGCTGTGGCTTGTCATTTCATTTTCTAATCATGTCGTTTGAAGTGCAAAAATTTTTAATTTAATTTTGCCACTTCAGTAGGAATGTAGAAACCTTACCTATTTAGGTCTCTTTATATTTTAATTGTCTTATATATTTCACCTACATGTGTTGAAAACCCCATTACGAAAGGTTGTGATTGTTCGCTTTTTACCATCAATCATACTTTAAAGAACTTAGAAGAAGAATAGTGTATATATTTGCCCAGATATTTGCCATTTCTGTTCTTTTCTCATTCTCGGTTTTCTGAGTTGCTTTCTGGTGTCATTTCTGTCTGGAGCGCTCCCTCTAGTAATTCCTTTAGAGCACGTCTGCTGCCCTTGAATTCTCTTGGATTTCCTCATCAGAAAGTGTCTTTATCTCGCAGTTACTCCTGATGAGTATTTAAGCCGGCTACAGAATTCTGGATTTACCTTAAGGCACTTTTAAAATGTTCTTCCTTCTGGCCTCTATGCTTTTTAATAGGAAATTTGCAGTCATTTGTGTCACTTGGTTCCCTATAAGTGGTATGACTTCTTTCTTTGTCTTTATTTTGTAATAGTTTTATTCTGATGAATTCGATCTTGGATTTCTTTATGTTTATCCAGTTTAGGGGCTTACTGAGCTTTTTGAAGCTGTAGGCTTATACTTTGGCCGTAATTGGGGAGCATTCAGCCAAAAGTTTCTTGACACTTTTTTCCCACCATGCTCTTTCTTTTCTCTCTGTGGGACTCCTATGACATGGACTTGGTATTGTCTACAGTGTCCTAAGCTCTGTCTATTTCTAAGTCTTTTTCTCTCAGTTGCCAAATATGGATACTTTGTCGACTGTTCACAGTCTCCTCTCAGAGTGTGGAGTGCTGCTTAGGGTCAGGTTTCTTATTTTCTGCTGTTGCTCTGGATTTTTAAGAGAGTGTTTGTGTTTTCTTGTCATTTCGGGAGACTTGGGGACAGAAATCCATCTTGATCTAAAATCCAGAAACCTTTCAAAACCTAAATTTGGTTCCATCACTCCCATCCTGTGAAATCTTTCTTGCCTGACTCCCATTGTGGCCTTTAGCCCGATCACCACGCACACTGCGATCTCGTCTCACTGGACTGTTTGTATTTCCTCAACCTCAGAGGTTTTTGGGTCCCACGTCAGAGCTGCTGTCTCCTAGAATGTCTTTGCACTCCCGTTTTTGTGGAAAACACTGATTTCCTAAAACTCCTCTCGAGCTGTGCCTCTTCCACAGAGGCTAACACCACACTCAGGTGGCACGATGCCCTCCTGCTGTGCTCCACGCCGCGCCCTCCCTGCACCTCTGTCCTAGCTGGTGTACAGCGTACTTCACTTACAGGTGCACGTGTTCGCAGCCTTCCACAGCACTGAGGATTTTTTTAGGATATTGTTTTATTTTAATTTTGCTACCACTTCTGGTGCCGCATTTGAGGCTTAGTAATTATTTTGTTGGCGCTTCGGAAGATTTAAAGTCACGTGGTCCAGTTCTGGTGTATGGTATAGACGGAGTGGAAGATGCATCTTAGGAAGGCGGGGCACAGTGGCGTTCGCTGTAGCTCCCGATGATAAGAATCAGGTGCTCCAGCTCCAGCCCCTTTTTCTGTGTCACGTAGTGATAACTGCTTCAGATTCACTAGGGTTGTGCTTTTACAGGAGTCAATCTCATTTGAAGATTTATCTGTGGACTTCACTCAGAAGGAATGGCAACTCCTGGACCCCTATCAGAAGGACTTATACAAGGATGTCATGTTGGAGAACTATGGCAGCCTAGTGTCACTGGGTAAGAAAAGCTTCCCAGAGGACCTCGTATTGTGCCCGATACCTTGCTTTTCCTTTTTTTGTTGCTGAGAACTCTTGGGGCTTCTGAAACTTAATGATTTTGGACCTAAATTTAGGAGGTCAGTTTCTTGGGACTGTGTGACACCAGGGAAAGTATTTGGATCTCACCTTCCAGTAATGAAGTCTCAGTTTCATTGTGCAGCCTCGGAAACGCACAGTAATGGGACAGTGGTAGCGCCAAATGCGCGTAACTTAATATTCCACGTGTTCATACGTCGACTCGTTTAATCGTCAGAGCTGTCCTGTGGGACAGGTACAATTACTCCCCTTTGCTTTCTAATGAGGACATCGAAGCAAAGAGAGGTTGAGTACCTTTCCCAAGGACTGACAGCTGGTGAACGAAAGAGCCTGGATTGGAACCCAGGCAGCCCGGCTCCAGAGCCTGTGAAGTGTTAATGGTTTGGGACTTAAATTGCAGAAGTCCAAGATTTTTAGACCCTCTTAGCCACTGAGGGGATAATTGCCATTTCGTTGAGAACTATTTACTCTGCTGATACACAGGTAGATAGTTTAACTGGGTCAGCTCAGATGCTAGACCTTGGCCACCCTGCAGAGGTCCTCAAGCCCAAGGTCTTTGTGACTTCCCTTGAACAGGGTACGAAGTTGTGAAACCTGATATCATCTTCAAGTTGGAACAAGGAGAAGAGCCCTGGGTAGGAGACGGAGCAGTTCCAAGGTCAGCCTCTCTCGGTGAGTACGTGAGATCCGGGCCGGTCGGAGAAGGTAGGGTGAACTCTTAGCCAGGCCGTGCGTGGGTTGACATCGCCGAAATACGCTCTGGAGAGCTCCTTTCACAATCCCTCAACCTTTGACATGCGCTGCTCAAGTGAATCACCTTTTCATGTTGCTGCTTTGCTCATAGCTTCAGGTGAAATATTTCCAGGTCGTGTGAGCCATGACAGTCATTGTGTGTCACATCTGGGGCTTTGACTTCTTCAGTGTTCTGCCCCTGACGTGTTTAATGTCCTCCCTTCCCCTGTGGTCAAAGACACCTCTGCTCGTACGTTCAGGAATTCTTTCCCCTCCTTTTGGGTGTATCTGGTGCCCAGAGAAGCGACCTGCGAAAGTCGTGTCTCACTGTCTCGGAAAACGGAGTCATCGTTGCTCCCCGTCTGCCCTTTTCCTCCCTTTGGAAATCAGCTCCTGCTGCGCTTTCTCTGTAGGCCGACGGCGCGGAGTATCTTGAGTGACCTCTTTCTACTATTCTCTCATACGATTTAAGTTTCTTCCCTTTGGGAAATGTCTTTTTAAAGCTTTTCCTCCTCAACTCCCGCTTAAAACGAATCCCATGATGTCTCAGTCTCGAATGTCCCAAATTGCTAGATAGATCCAGATTCTAACCTTTTACGAGTAACCTAAGGGACACCCCACCACATTTTAGTTCCTGAAGCATCCAGCGCTACTGCGATCAGTTAAATGGCCTATTCGTTATCTGCTGAGTGACCCTGACCTACTCCACGTTTCCTCCGAAGCGGTCCCTGAGACGCTTGTCTAAGTGCTGGAGTTTACTGGGGATGCGGGGGAGAGGGGAGTGAGGTGGGGGCAGTAATGCCAGCGAAGGGTGTGCCGACGGGTGCTGGCTGCCATAGGCACTGGGCGCTTGGTGCTGCTGGGAGCCCGCTGAGGACCCAGGAAGTTGGCTCCCATCCTGTAAGTCCCAGCCCTCGGTGGTGAGCACTGTTCCAGGAACACTGCCTCCAGAATGCCCAGCATCCCTGCCCACAGACCGAGCATGTGCTTGCAGCCCAAGACGGTTCTCAGGTGGAGAGATGACCATCCACCCAAGCCACAGGTGTCCTCCGGACGTGTAGGCGAGGCAGCAGGGGCGTCGGGTGCAGGACACAATCTCTTCCTCAGGGGCCTCCATGGGGTGAGCCCGTGTAGCCTGTTTATCTGTTTGCCCTAAAATTCGGAGTCGGTTCTATTTAAACCTTTCTGAGTGTTTTGAGACACGTAATGTTTATTCTCTGCATGTGAACTTGCGATTGTGCTATGCTTTATCTAGAAACTGTTAACCTTTCCTACACAAACCTGCTTCCAGTGCACTCATGTCTATGGAACGTTCCATGACTGCTCCAGCCTGCATTTTTCTCACTGTTTGCCGAATTCCCACCCAGACTTGACCACAAAGTATGTCATATTTTTCAGTCGTTTGGTCCCTGACCCTTTCTTGCACACATAGATACCAGGGCTTACAATTTAATGTCTTCAGTTATAGGACACATAATAGTCATTCAATAAATAATCTCTCCACAAGCCAATTGTTTTAATACAGGTGTTTCAAACCAGGTGTGCATGATTACCTGGGGATTTTTTTTCCCAACGATGAGCATGATGGATCCATTGCCAGAGGCCGATTCAGTGAAGTGGTGCGCGTGTGGTTTTTAAATTTGGTATTTTAGGACTGGAATTTGTAAGTTGAGAAACCTCTAATGATTTTTATGCCCCTAATTACTTGAGACCCACCACTGTAATGACTACTAAAAATGATTAAAAAATAGGAGGCCTAGAAAATGCCTTCTAGAAACATAGAACTTATTTAAAAAATGAAACATCTGCATCTAGTTTTTTTTTATTCTGTGTTTAAATGCATTGAGCCTTTATGTTTCATTGTAGTGTAGGGCAGTGTTAGTTGTCAAAATTAGTTACACAAACAAGGACTGTGGTGGGGTCCTCAAGACCACCAGCACGTTCAGAGAGTCACTAGAAAGAGTCGTGCTTACGACTAGGCTTTCCAGTGACATACAAGGACACAGCTTGGGGTCCTCAAGACCACCAGCACGTTCAGAGAGTCGTGCTTACGACTAGGCTTTACAGTGACATACAAGGACACAGCCGCATCACAAAGGGCGAGGCTCAGAGTCTGGAGGAATCCGCAGGTTTCCTGTGCTCTCTCCCCAATGAGAGTCACACAGCTCAGTCTCCCCAGCGACGAAAACGCAGTGCAGTGTGTGATGTCTCTGCCCAGGGAAGCCCCTAAGAGACTCGGCACCCAGGGTTTCCCTGGGGACTGGTCACATGGCACCTCTGCCTGGCACGCCTCAGCGTTTCAGTCTCCCAGCAGGAAGGCCGGCGCTCAGCGTCGTCCGAACTACTCAGGCGCAGCCATGGCGCAGGGAACAGCTTTTCAGTTAGGGAATGGTGGGGACACTCCTGTCCCCAAATGCCAGCCAAGGGCCAGCCTTGCAAGCAGGCCTGTCTGTGTATGGCAGTCTCGGGCCTGGCGTTTACTCCTTTCTTCACAGACTGCTTTAGCATTTCCTAGACAATTGAACATATATTGATTTCTCTTCTTTTCAGGTATCGCGCTGGGTGCTGTGGGTACAGCACTGAGCAGATACATCCCCTGCCGGTACAGCGCTTACTCTCTAGTGGGAGGGTACAAATGAACAAGATAGTAAATGACCAAAACAGAGTCCAGGCCCTGAAAGTATTACCCTAGACATCAATCAGGTGATGCTATGGTAGAGAACGTACCGGTCTGCTCAGGCTGCCATAACAAAATGCCTTAGACTGGGTGGTTCAAGATCAAGGTGCCAGCATGATTGGGTTCTAACAAGGGCTGTCTTCCTGGCTTGTGTACAGCTGCTTTGTGGCATTGTGGCTTTGTCCTCACAGGGCCTTTCCTCATTCATGCGTGTAGACAGAGAACCTACAGCAGAGAAAAGGGGCGGAGAGTTTTGGGGTAAGAGATTTGAGGTTGGGATACACTGCAGATTACCAAATACCAAGCAATCCCTTTTTTCTAATGGGAAAAAATTGAGCAAAAACTTGGGAAAAGGTAGATAAAATTTTCTAATGTGTACTTAGTTTATAATCTAACATTTAAAGTGATATAAAATTGTAAGGTTAATTGACAAATAACTCCATTTTGTACTCACGTTTCCTGTTACCACTTTATGCACACCTGTAACGTACATCTTAAAATTAATATATCTATAATGTAGTCTCAATTTTAATCTCCAGACCGCTTTTCACCCAGTCTTCACAACTCGGTGATTAACACCATAAACCACTGAATTACTCAAACCCCAAACCTAAGGGTCATTCTCGATTCTTCGCTTTCCTTTATACCCTCCATATCAAATTCGTCATCAAGTCTCATTCATTCTACCTCCAGAGTATTTATGGCCAGCAGTTGGTTGTGGGGTTTTCACAAATGCATTGACCGTGATTGACACTTAAATTCTTACAAAGTTTTTCACATTACTTCTTGTCTTTCGTACCTTTTAGTATGAACTGAGGGAAAACTCCAAGTCTGGAATGTTAGCGAAAAGGAAGCCCTTTGCCGAACATTTATAACACCGGAATATATGGTTATGTTTTGAGGATAAATGTAATAAATGACACTAGAACTGTCAGAGTGTTTTAAGAATGGGAACTTGTGTCTTGGGATAATTTCAGTGAAAGAACCACAGGGATTTTAAACTTTTGTTTCTGAACAGTTTAGATGAAAAGTGATGTGCTTTGTGTTGTATGAAGTGGCTTTTTTGATAATAATGTTGGAAATGTACAGTCATCCATCAGTATCCCTGGGGGATCGGTTTCAGAATCCCTCAGGTACCAAAATGTAAAGATGCTCAAGTCCCTTGTATGAAACACCATAGTATTTGCATATAACCTGTGCATATCCTCTTGTAAACTTTGAAGGATCTCAGATTACTTATAATACCTAATGTGATGTAGATGCTATGTAAATAGTCGTTATGCTGTATTTAGAGAATAATGACAAAAAAAGATCTGTATGTGTTCAGTGTAGATGCCCCATCGTAGGCCTGATTCTGTAGTACACCTCAGCAACAGCGTAACATTTTTTTCTGAATACTTTTGACCTGCAGTTTGTTAAATCTGCAGATGCAGAACTTGCAAATAGGGGGAAAGATTGTGAGTTTAAATAAAAATTTTAGACAATTTGAGAATGGGGAAGAGTACATGAAGTAATTCTCATTCTTCAAGCTTGAAATGGATAGTCAATTTATCAGATGTTATTTTCTTCTTAGTACTTTTGACAAAGTACAGTTGTGTTTTTTTAAATATTTATTATCTTTTCCATTAGAACATAAGTTTCATAATGGTAGGGGCTTCTTGTACCTCACATACCACCTGGAATATAGTATGTACGTGGTAGGTATTGAGTAAATTAATTCCTCAGAACATTGAATCAATGCTTCTTTCACCATCCTTTCTTTACTCCTCATTGCTTTTCATGAATTTTTCACATTCTCCATTTTCTAAACTTACATTTAACAACAAGCAAAGGTAACTTAATCTACTGTGTCTCCTGTATACAGCATTTTATTTTTCATACTTAGAGTATAGACATACTAGGGACTTAGCTCAGACTAGGAAACTAAGCCTTAAAAAGCATTCATCCCTCAGATATTCTAGCTTTTATTCAGTGATCACAACCATAGAAGGATTCACAGGGTTTTTTTTCTTTATAGAACAAGTCTTGCAAGTGAATGCTCACGTGACGTGGCACCACGATAATCAAGAGAAGCTTAAAAATATGAAACAAGATCATGAATGTGATATGTTTGGAAAAAATTTCAATCTGAGCGTAAACTTTGTCCCTTTCAGGAAATCAAACAATGAAGGTGATGTAGATGGATTAATTTTAAAACATCATTTAGATTTACTTATTCCAAAGGCAGATTATGGAAAAACGGAACCAGATGACTTAAATGTATTTGATAAATTGTTTCTCCATTCTAAGCCCGAGGAAACTGATGCTTGGTTAAAATACTATGAATGTAATAAATATGATAAAGTTAGCTATAAGAAGTCACAGATTATCATATATCACAGAACCCGTTTAGGGGAGAAACTTTATGAGTGCAGCGAATGTAGGAAACGCTTTAGTAAGAAATCAAGTCTCATTAAACATCAGAGCAGACATATAAGAGAGATAGCCTATGGCTGTGGTAAATGTGGCAAAACTTTTCCCCAGAAGTCACAGTTTATCACACATCACAGAACTCACACAGGAGAGAAACCTTATGATTGTAGCCACTGTGGAAAAGCCTTTTCCCAGAAGTCACAGCTCACATCCCATCAGAGGACACATACAGGAGAGAAACCGTATGAATGTGGTGAGTGTGGAAAAGCCTTCTCCAGGAAGTCACATCTTATATCACATTGGAGGACACACACAGGAGAAAAACCCTATGGATGCAAGGTATGTGGGAGGGCCTTTAGTGAAAAGTCAAATCTCATTAATCATCAGAGAATTCACACGGGAGAGAAACCTTTTGAATGCAGAGAATGTGGGAAAGCTTTTAGCAGGAAGTCACAACTCGTTACACATCACAGGACTCACACAGGAACAAAACCCTATGGCTGTAGTGACTGTAGAAAAGCCTTCTTTGAGAAATCAGAGCTCATCAGGCATCAGACAATTCATACTGGAGAGAAGCCCTATGAATGCAGTGAATGTCGGAAAGCGTTCAGAGAGAGGTCGAGTCTCATTAACCATCAGAGAACCCACACGGGAGAGAAACCTCATGGATGCGTTCAGTGTGGGAAAGCCTTCTCCCAGAAGTCACATCTCATATCGCATCAGATGACACACACAGGGGAAAAACCCTTCGTATGCAGCAAATGTGGGAAGGCCTTTAGCAGGAAATCCCAGCTTGTCAGACATCAGCGAACTCATACAGGAGAAAAACCCTATGAATGCAGTGCATGTGGGAAAGCTTTCAGTGAGAAACTAAGCCTCACTAATCATCAGAGAATTCACACAGGAGAAAAACCCTATGTGTGCGTTGAATGTGGGAAGGCCTTTTGTCAGAAGTCACATCTTATATCACACCAGAGGACACATACAGGAGAGAAACCTTACGAATGCACTGAATGCGGGAAAGCCTTTGGAGAGAAGTCAAGCCTTGCAACTCATCAGAGAACTCACACGGGAGAAAAACCGTATGAATGCAGGGATTGCGAAAAAGCCTTCTCGCAGAAATCACAGCTCAATACCCACCAGAGAATTCACACAGGAGAGAAACCCTTTGAGTGCAGTCTTTGTAGGAAAGCTTTCTTTGAGAAGTCAGAGCTAATTAGACATCAGAGAACTCATACAGGAGAAAAACCTTATGAATGCAGTGAATGTAGAAAAGCTTTTAGGGAGAAGTCAAGTCTCATCAATCATCAGAGGATACATACAGGAGAGAAGCCCTTTGAATGCAGTGAGTGTGGCAAAGCCTTCTCTCGGAAATCACACCTCATACCACATCAGAGGACACATACAGGAGAGAAACCCTATGGATGCAGTGAATGTAGGAAGGCCTTCTCTCAGAAGTCACAGCTTGTTAATCATCAGAGAATTCATACAGGAGAGAAACCTTATCAATGTCATGAATGTGAGAAAGCCTTCTCCCAAAAGTCACAGCTCATTAATCATCAGAGAACTCATACAGCAAAGAAATCCTAGAAATGGAGTCAATATTAGTCTTTGACAAGAGATCCTACCTCATTGTACTCCAGAAAATGCAGGTAAGTCTTTCAGATAATAGTCACACTGCATTATCTGTCTGGGCCTCTTAGGGTAGGAACTCTAAATGAGTATGTAGGGATTTTAAGCTTTCAGCAGATTAACACATTTATACACCAGAATTTATGGAGTAGAATGAGCCTATGAAATGTAGTGGATTTCAAAAACATTTCAAACCATAGTCAAACCTTATAAACAACTAGGAGCAAAGAGGAATACTGTGAATATCAGCCTCCTGTAGGTCAAACCGCATTAGCTGTTGGAAAATTCTCCCTGGGGAAAAACCTTGGTCCAGTATAGCAAGGCAAGTCCATGAACGTGGCAGTCGAGGTAGTGTTTTCATTTAGAAGTGACAGCTTATCGTACATGAGAAAACGCCTTCAGGAATGAAGTCCTATGAAAATACTAAGTATGGGACAATCTTCACTAATAATACAACCGTACTGTGTTTTGGAGAACTCGTACTGTGGATAAACCTAACGATTTAATGACATTGGAAATCTGTGCCCCTAGAGATAATGCTATAAAGGGAAGCTGTATACTTTTGAAAAAAATAGGTACCAAAAATACCCAATTCTAAATGGTTCACAGATGTTCACTTGAAAGAATGAAGTTTTAAATATATGTGAATAAATTGAGTTGCTGAAACTCAATAAGAAATTTCTTAGTGGTATTTATGGCTTACTCTCCTTTGTCACAATGTGTTTTGTATTTTGGAATTCCTTATGATAAAGAATGAGGTGGACACACCACATGCCACTGGGTTTTCTCTTGTTGGTACTGCACAAGCATTAACTAATATCACATGTTGCTAAATAACAAGTAGTAATACATTTCTTTTTTCCCGTATTAATAGTTTGTTGACATATAGGAGTCTAATGTTGTTGACCTTTTTCTTTAGTAAACAAAAGTCAACATTGTATAAAGTCTTCTGCATTCTCAGAGTCTGAGAGACAGTTTATGTGAAGCCCTGTTAAGTATTTAAAGGCAGGCACCACAGAATAGCAGTAGTGATTCATGATATACCGAGTGAGCAAAAGGAAGGTTTGTGAACTGTATTACTCAGCATTCAAACTAAATGGCAGTAGTGCTGTGCTAAATCTTTCTCATTTAGTGAGATGCTTCCATTTATCAAGTATACATATCAAGTGCTGTGTAACAAGTACAACTTGTGTTCTGACTTACTATGGTGAACTATGGATTCTGTGTGCTGCTAGTAAGTTTTCGGTGTTTCATAAACTATCTTGTAAAAATTAGAGGAAGCAATTACTTAAGAGTCACTGCTCTGAAAATGTAAAATATAGAAAATTTTGTGGTAAGATATATTTTCGATGTATTCAAGGAAGCCTATTTTGCCTTGCTGCAAATTTCTGTAATAACTAGACAAGTATTAGAAAATGAAGTTTTCATTCTTTTATCATTTGAAATATTTGTGTTCCTCTTTTCTTTACCAGTTGCATCTTTCACATTTAGAATTTACCATGATGTAAGTATGGCACCCTTTGAAGATGCATAGACCATTCCTTAGCTTAGTTAGAATTCTGTAGTGACTTTTCTATAATGTTACTTGACAAATCAACAGAATTTTTTGGATGGGGGTAAAATTCAGAAAAGCCCAACATTGACCTTGTTTCCAAACATGGAAAAATCAAGACTTCTCTCATACACAGGTTGTTTTTATTAGTGTGGTGTATTGCACCTTTGATTCTAGAAGCATTTTTTCCTTTAATCTTCTACTTTGCATCATTCTTGAAAACTTCAATTGAGAGTAATTTTCTAAACCATTGTACCAGAATTTCAACAACCAGATAATTATGTCTTTTCACGTGGTAATTTAAAAAGCATCCAATTACCCAAATTTTTATTCACACTCAAATCTATGGACGTCCTACTTTTCTCCCTCACACGTGAAGGTCATTGTACCAAATGGGGGAAGTAGACATTTGTAAACGAACAGGTAGTTAGTTATTGGGCGATGTTTTACTTTGTGATTTTTCTCCATTTTTTTTCCTTTCCATCTATCACGAGTCTCTCCCCTAGTCCTAGAGCTTTATTAGGTCTTGAATTGGAGTCTGTTGTCTGAAATTTTCCAAATCTTGCTTACTCCAATTCTAGATTATTTTATTAAATATTAAGCAGCATCTCTCTTTAGGCTAGTGATGGGAGCGTAAATTAATACAGATCCTCGTGATAGATAAGAAATATGTGTCCAAAGTGAGAATATTATAACCTTTAACCTAGCAATTTGTTTCTGAGCTTTTAGAAGAGAACTCTTCCTTCAAGCAGTTAAACCTAGTACGTACTTCACTAGATAATGGAACTTCTGCGCTGGCCTATTGGTTGCATACCCAAGAGCAATTTTCCTTTTTGGTAAGGGTCAGCAGGTAGTCATAGCGAAGGCCGACAGCAGAGGTCTAGTTTATCGAAATACCTGACACAGAGACACAGGTATGTCGTATAGAACTCACTGAGAGCTCTCTCTCCTGAAGTTTCACGGGAGGGCTATGATTCTGAAATTATATTTTCAGTTTGTTTTTCATATTACCTCAGTAAACTATAAAAAATGTGTCCCTATGTTCCCCTCATTGATTTTGACCACAAACCCCACCTCAAGAAGAAAGGCAGCGTCCGAGCGGATTTACTTACAGACCCATGGGGCACAGTGAGTTACACTGAGGTGGAAGACTTAAGCAGACTCATTTTAGGAAGCATCACCTTTCCTCTCTCACCACCCAGGTTTTTCCACTGTCCTGTAGAAAATTCTACAGAGGACAATTTCTGTTGTATTCCTTTTGGTAAATAATGGGTCTTTTGGAGGTCCAGTCCGTGAATTTTGAGGCCTTTCCCAAGAATGCCTTCTCTTCAGCTTTTGTGGGCCTTGCTATCTTCTGACAGTTATCTCTTGAGATAAAATGAACCCAAAGAATACCAGATTAATATGATAATGTTCGTTTTAAATAGCAGAATAGAGTAATATCTACACTTGAGACTTCAGTTATTTCCTCATTTATTCTGGCAATACATGCCCAGGCTGTCAATTTCAGTGGGCTCGTTAGTCTACAAATATGGTACCAACAAACTCTCATGTTCAGTACTTAGTCTTGGCCTAGGTACTGGCTAACTCAACCATACCCTTGCAGCTGTATGCATATTTTTTCCACCTTCATTTAAGTCTGTTTCACACTCATACAGAGTAGTGATTTTAAGACACAATTTTGATTATGCCTGTGTTGAAATATTATGTGGCTAATTGTGGACTTAAGAAAGTGTAATATACTGATGGTATTAGAGGAGTTTTATACAAAATATATGCCTAGTCATCATTTCTGAATACTTCGTCTTTCCTCCTACATACATTTATTTTGGGGGAGGGGGGTGGGCGCCGCCTTTGAACTACTTGCAGTTCCTTGAAATTTCTACCATCATATGCTTTTGCAAATATACGGCTGCTAAAATGCCCTTTTTTGTCAATGCCTATCCCACTTATATGAGCCTGTACATGTATTTGTCACTACAATAATGGCCTCAGTGCATGTTTTATTTTTTTTTTCCATTAGAAAGATTCTGGAAAACTGGGACTGTCTGGTTTGTCTATATAATTTTAGCAACTGAAGTTTTAATATATAAATGTGGGTGCTATTAGTGGCTATGTGTCCTTCCACATGAAGAAGCATAGTCTGCAGAGAGAAGAATGAAGCCGCTATGGAAGCAAAGTCAAGAACAGTCCTGATCGAGTCCCCGAATCTGGTTCTTGTTTTGCGGTGCATGTTCACCTCTACCTTGTTCACGCCTTGATCATTGGATTCTTCTGTGAGATATCACAAACATCCTTCCAATAAACCCCATGTTTGCTTCAGCTGCTTCAAATTGTGTTTGTTACTTAGAACTCAAATATTCCTAACAGAGTAAGTCAGGCTGTGTCATATTTGGGTTCTCTCGAAGCAGATGCCGAAATGAAGTTTGCAGTGTGAGATGTTTGTTGAGGATCAATGGCTGTGAAGTGATGGGAGAATAAATAGGGGAGGACTGACTGATCAGAGCAAGAAGTCAGAATCATCATTGGTTGTTGAAATCTCGTCCAAGCTAGTCGGGAACTCTGAAACAAGTTCTGTTGAAAGCATGTCTCATCGGGCCAAGGTGGTCAGGCTGTTACAACTTTTAAGTTGCTCAGTTACCTGAGGCTGGCTGCCTTGGGAAGGGAGCCATCTCAGGTGAAGCAGCTCTTCAGCAGAGGTCAGCTCTGCAGACGCTGGCAACTGCAGGCAGTTGGCCGACCACTCCCTGCCGCTGGGCAGCCAGCCCTTCCTTGAAGATGTATCTGGGCGCTGCATTCCTCTGAATACAGAGTCCGTGCCTTGCCCTGTTTATGTCCACTCTCCCAATATTAGGTCTCTGAGGAGGGACTAAGGAAAGGAAGATCGGTAGGACAAGCCACAGCCCCTACTGTTGCAATTGCCTCATCTAATACCCAACCCAGATTCTCCTCCACAGTTACCACTTCTGCTGGCTTTGGTGGCATGACCTGGACCCTCATTCCTGAGCCCAGGTCAGTATGCCCTTTTTAGCCCCATCCTGCTGTATCTGTCCATTTACCATCACACTTGGGCAAGGAAGACCCAAGAAGGAACCAGGTGGATCACCTGAATCCACTCATATTTCTCACCGTCCTGTTGTGGAACAGCAGCCCTTTCTGCTCATGTGTCAAATACCCCTTCAAAGACCAACTACTCTCCTGAGCCGCCGGTGTCAACACAAGGAACACAGTTCCCACGTCATATCTGTAGCTTATAATTAGAATACTTGCTCTGTCCCGTCTGAAAAATGTGTTACATTTGGGGATCGAGAGCAGAAAGTCGATGGAGGGTCATTCCTAATGGCAGGCCCTTCCTGCTTTCTGGGGGTGGCACCCAGAACCATGTATTCTTAACGATTTGGGGATACAGCACGTTAGCTCGGACACAGCCCATTGACATGGGCTGCCCGGGCCGCCTGTAGTCTGGGACGCTCCACAGGCCGCGAAGGTCTCTGGGAATCGCAGTCCTCCGCCGGGAATCTTGGTCATTACAATCAGGAAGCTGGAGGTCTTTCACGGACAAGCTGGGGCCGCAGTCGGTTGTGGGAATTGTAGTCTCAGGCTGAGGTCGCGAAGCGTTCTGGGGAGTCGTGGTTGCCTGAGGCGTGGCCTTTGTCTCGACGCGCCGTAAGTGCCTCCGCGGGTCGTTCTGGGATTTGTAGTTTATAAGAATGCTTCACACCAAGCGCGCCGAAGCCGCGGTGGTTCCTGGGAAGTGTAGTCGTCTGAACACACCTTCCTCCGGCCCCCACCATCTCGGGTGCTGTGGGCGCAGTGCTCTCCGGGAGTTGTAGTGCGTGAGCGGGAGCCTTCCTCCCTCGTGCGCTGAGGCCCCGTGGGTCGTGGGACGTGTAGTCTGAGGTCTGCCTTCTCTGTCTCCGGCACCGTGAGCGTGGGGCGTTCTGGGAGTTGTAGTGCGTGAGCGGGACCTCCTTCCCACGCGCGTTGAGGCCCCGGCGGATCCTGGGAACTGCAGTTGTCGCGGCCTCACGGCCTGGTCCAGCATACCTGTCGCTGAACCTCCGAAAGGCGCGGTTCGCGGGTGGCTGGCTGTGGGGACCCTGGACGCAGAGCCGAGTGTGGCCTTCTTGTGCGGGATGTAGGTAAAAGGGCCCACCACGCCCGCACCGGGATCCCCGTCAAGTGGCCCGGGGCGGGAACGCGGTCCGGAGCCCGGAGCACTTCGCCCACCTTGCCAGAATCGCAGAGGACGCGCGCTGTCCCGTGACCCCGTTAAAGCAGGAGGAGCTGGGGCTGCGGGTCAGGCTAGGCTTCCCGGAGCCCCCGCCGCGGCAGGAGGGGTGCCCTGCGCGCGTGTGACGAGGGCGACAGGGCAGGCGGTTGCGGCGCGCTGGCAGCCCCGGCTGGGGGAGCCCGGCTCCTCGGCGCTGCCCAGCGGGCCCGCGCGCTCAGGACCCCGTTCTCTCCCTGCCAGCTCCGCGTTTTGCACTTTCCTGTTCTCGGCCCCTCCCGTGAGCCATGTCTCAGGTAAGCTGGCGTGTCCTTTCTTCTTCCTGAAAGAAGCTGTGATTTTCAGCATTCGGGGACATAGCCTCCTTTTTTTCCTTCTGAAACGACTTGCCCCGCAGAGCCACAGGACCCCGCCCCGAACGTCTACTCCCGACACTTGTGCTTGGGGGACGCGAGAGCGTTGACCCGAAGCCATTCCGACGCGGGCGGGGATTCTGACGGGCTGGGCTGCTTCAGGGTTTGAAGGACGGAGGCAGCCAGCTGTGACGCTGCCCCCTTTTCTCCCGATATTACAGAGAGAAGTGCATTACTTTATGTGTCCGGCTCCAGCTGCCCTTCATTCATTCATTCATTCATTCATTCATGTGCCTATTGAGCATCTAC